GCTGAGCCTGGTACCACGCCGCTGCTCCACCTAGCGGGGCCGGCAGTACAGGAGGCGACTGACGAGCTCGGGGGTCGCCGCCACCAGCAGGTGCAGTGGAGTCACCAGCCGCTGCACGAGGGGTCTCTCCAGACGCTGCACTCCCACCACCCCCAGTCGCAACAGCACCCCCACTACCTCCGCTACCTCCGCCTCCACCTCCACCAGAACCACCTTTCTTGCCCCCCCTGCCGCGGGACCGCGACGCAGTCGTAACAGCAGCCGCAGTCGCGTCAGTAGCGGCAGTGGCAAGAGAGGCAGTGAAGGTAGGTAACTGCGGGACTGTGCACCCGTGGAAGAGTGGGGGGGACACAGTACCAGAGGCGGCAGCTACCGAACGAAGGTTGCTCTCGACGTCCTTGAGTGCAGACTCAAGGACCTCGATAGTCAGCTCACTAGGGTGCTTCAGCAGAAGCGCGTCACGAACGGAGGCAAGGCGGTCAGGGAGGCTAGTGGCGATGAAATAGACAGTGATCGCCATGGGGGGAGGAAGCAGTGCAAGCTGTGCCTCAGTGCAAGCAGCGCGGTAACTAGCGTCGAGCGAGCGGAGGTGAGCGATCAAGTCAGCAGAGCGCTCAAACGAGGCAAGATCAGGAAACAGGAACGGGAGGAAAAGACGGCCAAGAGAGACAGTAGCGGGAGTAGAGTAGCGGGCCTTAATCGCAGTGAGGTACGCAGCAGCGGTGCGAACCTGAGTAAAGTGGACCTCCTCAGACTCAGGGAGGAGGCTGCTGAGTGCGATGCAGGCCGCAGCGTCACGCGACGTCCAAGCCGTCCGGTCAGCGCGCTGACGGGCAAAGCGAGCCGTAGCAGCGTCGTCAGGAGCAGGGCCTAAAGCTGTAGGCTCGGGGGGCTCGGGGAGGTCACCAGTAGCGTGTGACCAGAGGGTCTCGCCCCCCTGGACCTGACTCTCTAACAGACGGCGAGCGCGAAGAAGCCAGACGGAAAAGTCAAGTGGTCTACCGTCAGCGTCGAAACGAAGAACTCGCGGAGTCGCCATAGTGAGAACTAAAGCGAACGAACAGGCGAGTAAGAACCGGGGGGGAAGAGGACTCAGTTGCAGCGGAAGAGCGGGCTAGGGCGACGGGCCAGGACGTAGGGAGGGCAACGGGCCAGAGCCTAGGGTAGGGCGACGGGCCAGGGCCTAGGGTAGGGCGACTGGCCAGGGCTTAGGGTAGGGCGACGGGCCAGGGCTTAGGGAGGGCGACGGGCCAGGGCCTAGGGTAGGGCGACGGGCCAGGGCCTAGGGTAGGGCGACGGGCCAGGGCGTAGGGCAGGGCGACGCGACGGGGGAAAGGGCGGGAGCGACGCGACGGGGCAGGGCGACGCGACGGCACAGGGCGACACGACGGGGCAGGGCGGCGCGACGGGGCAGGGCGACGGGACGGGGCAGGGCGATGCGACGGGGTAGGGTGACGTGACGGGACAGGGCGACGGGACGGGGGGGGAACAGGCGGGCACGACGCGACGGGGGGAACGGGCGCGACGCGACGGGGGGGAAAGGGCGTGACGCGACGGGGGGAAAGGGCGCGACGCGACGGGGGGGAGGGGAAAGGGCGCGAGGCGACGGGGAGAAAGGGCGCTAAGCGACGGGGGAAAGGGCGCTAGGCTCGGTACTAGGCGCGGTAACAACGGAACTGGTACGAACGAGAGGTAGGATCAGGCTCGGGAGGTACGAACAGAGAACGGAGGAACGGGATCCCACAGGATCCTAACCTAGCTGATACCATGTCAGAATGAGGAATGAATGGTTCCATTGATGTTGGTTGGGGTACATATAACAAACCCTAACTTCTGTACCCCCTAAGACAAACCTCACTACAGGCTACAACATTTGACAGATGGAGGGGAGGGTAAGGCAGGGGGGGAAGTACCCACACCCGGCCGTCAATCGTAATCCGCCTTCCCATTCCCCCTTAACTCCTCTATCCACTCCAAGGGACAGGCAGGTGGGGTAGTTGTGCGCGCAATTCGAAAGTAGTCTTTGCAAAAGATCGGGGTGCAGCATTTTGCGAGTTTGAAAAACATGGGATAGTGTGGCAAGCTCAGACCCTTAGGCTGCGTTCTGCAGGCGCATCAGCTCTGATGCGCCCTTGGTTCGGCCTGATCCGCACATTGACAAATTGAGGTTCGGGAATGAGTAATTTGAATTTGAAAAATAGAGGTTCGGAAAATGGAAATTGAGGTTCGGGAAATCGGGAAACGGAGATTTGAAATTTTGACATTCCCAATCTCAATCTCAAATTTCCGCGGGATTCCATCTAGTTGAAGGGCTCGCCCAAGCACCTTCCCCATCGGCACGAACTTGGCTGCCCGACTGCCCACACACTAGTCGGGTAGCTGCCTAAAAATGTGCAGGGGAAACCAGACAACCCTAAATGCCCTGTGTTGTTCTGACGGGGGGCAGCAGTGGGCCATTCGAGCTGATGCGCGCATCATGCGTCTTCCCGGCGTTGCATCATGTGCGCATCAAGGACGCGTCAGATTGCTAGGACGATAAATTTCTCGGAACGCGGCGACATGTTAATTTGTGGTGGCCAAGAAGACCGTTCTGCAGGCATTCGGGCTTGGTTTGCCTCGGCAGCCAAGCGCTTATCGCGAACCTTGATAACCTTTCGGCTGGTTATCAAGGAAGGCTCCTGGATCGTCGAAAAAAATGCAATGTGCACTGGTGCGGGAAATGCGCCTGCAGAACGCAGCCTCAGGAAAACAGAATTCTGGGAAATAGGTGTGTGTTCAAAAATTGCCTACATTCGCGCTGTATCGCAGCTGTTCCACTGTCCCTACTTGTGCTGCGTGGACGGTTGCGGTTCTTACCAGTCTTTTTTTTTAATCAAGGGAACTGCGATACGGATTTGTGTTTTCGCAGGGCATCCAGGCTAATACAAATGGACAAATCTTCCCCGGGTCAGCAAATTTGGTGTGGTACTGTAATGTCTCTGGAGATTGTCGCTGAAACTTGGCTCAATCTTATCTCGGTTTTACAACCTTCAAATTGGACCCTTAATGAGCACGGATTGTTGCTTGAAACACTCCTCGAATACCCCAGCGGAATTCGGTCGACGGACCCGAATTGCCAGTGTCGTCGAGGGGGGTCGTCGAAGCCTGGGCTGACGGGGCGGAGCACTGACGCGCGTGCGGGCCCGCCAGCCAGGCCCAGGGCTGGGCCGAGCGCACGACCGCCGCCCCGCAGCCCCGCCCCGAACGTGAACAGCGGCCCACGTTACCGGGTGGGGTCGGCGAACTGGCGACAGCTCGCGCGTGGGAAAATTACCCTCGCGCGAAGGCAGCCCACGCGCGCCACCTGCCCGCGAGGTCCTAGTAACCCATCGCGGCCTGCCCGGACGGGCAGGCGAGGGCCGGGCAAAAATTCGGGGCCCCCTCGGGACACTCGACAACTTCGCGACCCGTTGCGGTGACGCCACGTGTTCGCCCGCCTGCTTCGCATCGGGCAACATGCAGAATTTGATACATTGCGAATTCAATTCGGGACATCGCGAATTCGATGTCGATCGCTTCGCGGCGCACGTTTTTCGCTTCGGGGCGTGACATCGACTTGCTGGCTCGGCGGCGAATGAGGACTTGTGCCACTTGTGCACGACCCCGCCAAACCCCGCCGAGGCAGGCACCACGAGGGCCGGGCGATGCCTCGACCGTTCCTGTGGGGCACCGACCCCCTTTTCTTGGTGGAAGGGGGCATCGCTCCTCATTTTCGACATCTCGTTTCCCTTTCCACCTTTTCCCCAGCTCTGCGCCTTCTCCCACATTTCACGTCCCTTAGCCGCTTCCCTTCCCCGCCATGTCGGCCGCCCCGAAACTCGGCGAAGTGACGCCGACTTCGCAGGACTTCCCTCTGTATCTCGACCTGGGCAGTGGACTCACTGCCAAGCTCGACGAACACGACTACGCCGTCCTCGTAGACCATAGGCTAGAGTTCAACGCCCGTTGCTTGGGATTCGGCCTCAAGTGAGTGCCCGTATTGGGATGTCGACGTCGACCGCTGGATACCTTGCAGGTCGACGTCGATAGGGTTGTCCCACGTTAGGGTTTAGATCACTACTCGGTGACGCACGCAGCCGTAGGTAGGCATCGTACTCCGATCACTACAGTAGGTCGGTGCCCGCATCGGTAGGCGCCATTGATTACAACGTAGCGACGGTGGTGCACCGTTCGACTCTAGCCATCCCCGTCCGTTGTCGGTTCCAGAACCCACGTGTCCATCCGTCGTGCCGTGCACGTCCTCAAACACATCTACTACCCATGCATGCGTGCAGGTACGCATGGATTCGCGCGGCGCCGCCCAACATGCGATTGTGGTCGATAGGACTCGGCCGGCTTCGGGCGGCGATGGGCAAGGAGGACCACTCATGCTTTGCAACGGTGTTCGACGCCGACGTAGCTGTTATCCCTCTGCATTCGAGGTGAGCCTAAGTCATGATGGTGTGCCATGATGCCTATGTCGCTGCTCCGTTCTGATCGACGTCGTGGTGCCTAGCCTGTGCAGCATCGCACCGCTTCCAGGGGCACATTGCAGCGTCGTGGTCATCCTGTACCCCGGCGACTTGTTGCGGGCCGGGGGAGAGACGATCAGGACCTCTGTCCGGCACTTCGACCCGCAAACCGTGAAGCAGTGGCACCGCGACGAGGCGATCCGCGTGCTGAAGTGAGCTCGATAGTGTAGTCGACGACGCATGCAATTTCGCCGCTGGGCGTTAAGCAAGTCTACTGACGACCTGTGCCATGTTGCTTCAGGTTTTTCCGGGCGGCGGTGCTGGCCGAGCTCGGCCGCGATGGCCGGCACAGGGAGTGGCCGAAGCCTTCTGCTGAAGAGGTGGCGGCCAGGCTCGCCGACTGCGATGAACCCGTTCGAGATGTGAGTACCGATCGCTTTACCGTCCTAGCGCGATGCCATCGCCGCCGTCGGTGCTCATCCTTGCTCTCTGCTCTGTTGTTTGCAGAAAATGCGCGACACCGTCCGGGACAGCGACGCCGGCTCTGGCCTCCTATCAATGAGCGCGCTGTGCTGGGTGGTGAAGAGGATGGATCGCCTGACCGGCGACGACCGTCGCAGTGCGACCAGCATGGACAAGGTCCTCGTTTCGGGGTTGAAGGAGCAGCGGATTCGGATGATGACATACAGCAAGGAACACGTCGCACGCAGACGGTCAGGCCATGTCGGAGTTGGTGCCGATGCCTGTGACGACGACGCCGCGGAGCCCCCTTCGGCATCCCAAGCAGTCGGTGTCGCCGACACCAGCGGAGAGGCCGGAGACGGCGTCGACAAGGCAGATGAGGAGGCAGAAAGGGCTGTGGCGAGGACAGCGGATCAGGAAAAGGAGGAGGAGGAGGATGACACCGACGATCAGGATGATAACGAGGAGGATCGTGAGGAGCGTGAGCAGGGGCATGGGCAGGAGGAGGAGGAGGAGGAGGAGGAGGAGGAGGAGGAGGAGGAGGAGGAGGAGGAGGAGGAGGAGGAGGAGGAGGAGGACGAGGAGGAGGAGGATGAGGAGGAGGATGAGGCGGACAAGGAGGCGGCGGCGGCGGAGGCCGTGGAGCAAAGTTTCGGGTCGGTGGAGCAGGTGGCGGAGGGGGAGAAGCAGCAAGAGGGGGAGGAGGAGGTAGAGTTCCCCTGGGTCGAATTCGAGATGGAGGATGTTGAGGGAGCGGCGGCGGTGGCCGTGGAGGGAGCGGCGGCGGCCGTGGAGGGAACGGGTGGGATGTCGGCGGATGTTGTGTACGTGCGAGGGGAGGGTGCCGATGCGGAGAATGTCGGCGTGGAGGAGGCGCACGTGGTCGGCAATGTGGTTGGCGACGCGAAGGAGGAGGATAACGTCGCGGCCCCGACGCCGACGGGCGTGGAGACCACCACAGGGAACGCAGGGGTGGAACGCCGGGGTGGAGCGGTAGAGGCGGGCCGTCAACCGGGTTCCTCAGCAGCTGGTCGGCAGGCAACGCCGGCCGTCGTCGCGCAGCTGCGACAGGAGAACATGTGGATGAGGGCAGAAAATGCTCGACTCGAGACGGCGCTCGGAGTGGAGAGGGGTCGGGTGGACAGGTTCGCGATGGGGATTGGCCACCTCGTGGACAAGCTCAGGTCGTTGGCCGACCAGGTCGCCGCCTCCGACCAGGACGCGTCGAGTCGGCTGATGGACGCGTCCTTGACCATGGCGACGACCGTGACGGAGAACATCACCGCCAACATGGGTGAAGCATGGGAGGCGATGAAGGCGTACGCCGAGAGGGCGGAGAGCTGGTTGGACGATCTAGAGAATCCGAGGGGTTTATGGCGGTGCAACGTGCGAACGCGGTCGTCGCCCTGGGCAACCACGTGGACGAAGCGAGGAAGGGATTGGAGGAATACATATCGAAGCACCTAGTCGCCGCGCAGACCAACATCGCCGCCGCGGTAACTCAACGCGTCGCCGTCCCGCCGCCCACGCAGCCCGCCCCACCGCCAGCCGTCCCGGACGAGCTCATGAAGTCTTTCAAGGCGGACGTGTTGAAGGCGGTGACTGAGGCCACCCAGCAGTCGTTTGCTGCGTCCGGGTTAAACCTCATGACCTAGGTGATCGGCCATCTGGCGCCTGGTCGGCATGGGTCGTCGCCGTCGGACAACGAGGCCGACAAGAAGGGTGCGAAAAGGGCGGGCGGTGGAGATGATGCGTTGAGCTCGAAGCGGAGCAAGGGAGCCGATGGGAGCCGCGGCGTCGGCCAGGCGGGTCCAGGCGGCTCGCGGGGCAAGGGAGCCGATGGGAGCGGAGGTACGAGCGTGGTCGACCAGCTGAAGAAGAACGGGGCCAAGGTGATAAGGACGCACAGCAAGGGCGATGGAATCAGGAGTGCGGAGGGGGGCCCTGCCGACCAGGTTGCCGCTCAAGAGGCTGGACCAACAGCCCCGCCATTGGTGGCCGAGAAGCCGGCCAGTCTAGCGACCGCACCAACGGCGATAGATGGCGGCGCCAAAACCGTCAAGGGACCGTCCGTCGGAGTGGCGGGGACCACGTCGATCCCCCGCAAACCCCCTGCGGCTAGCAGCGCGCCGGTCGCCCCGTCAGCCGCCAACAACGATGGGCCGTCCCTTGCGGCTACTCCAGCACAAGCAGGCACGTCTGCCGCCAAGGTTGACGCGGTGGATGCTGCGGCTAACCGCGCTGGTCCGTCCGCCCCAAAGGCGAACGCGCTCAGGGAGATGCTCGGCCGCATGGAGACCCATCGACAGGACTTGCAGCAGCCTCCCGTGGTCGGTACCGCGCCGGCCACAACAGCACGTCGCTCGGTCACTCCCCAGGTCGCCGCCACAACGTCCAGTGCCCCACCTAGCGCGCCTATCATCGCCGCCCGTCCTCCTGTGGACCCAAAGTCCGCGTTGCTTCGCGCCCGGTTAGGCGCACGTACTGCGGCTGCGCCAGCACGGGCTCAGCCGGTATCCAGCTCATGCGCGTCGCCGACGTCGGTGACCGTAGCTGCACACACACTCGGTGCGGCTACTTCGAGGCGGTGGCGGAGAAGGGCGTGAGTGCAGCGCTAGCCACGGGCGGCAGATCAGTTGACCCTGCACAGGCGGCGAAGGACCACAACGACGCCGATATCGCTGCCATCCAGGACCTGTTGGAAGCGGTAAACCGCCCCAAGCAGCCCCCTGTGCTGGCCATCTTGGACTCGGCGAGTCCCACCGGCTGTACAGCGGAGCCAAAGACGACCACTGCTGCGGTCGGAGCGGGAAAGTCGAAACGGAAGGGGACGGTCGACGCAGGGAAAGCGAGGCCGAGCTCGAAGAAGAAAACACGGGCGACATCGGCGATGGTGAAGTCGGTGCAGAAAGGACAGGGGATGTCGACGGCGATGTTGGAGAAGGAGAAGGAGGAGGAGATGGAGAAGAAGGAGGAGGAGGAGAAGGAGAAGGAGAAGGAGAAGAAGGAGGAGAAGGAGAAGGAGAAGGAGGAGGAGGAGAAGGAGAAGGAGGAGGAGAAGGAGAAGGAGAAGAAGGAGGAGGAGGAGAAGGAGAAGGAGGAGAAGGAGAAGGAGAAGGAGGAGGAGGAGGAGAAGGTGGAGGAGGCGGAGGTGGGGGAGGAGGAGAAGGAGAAGGAGGAGGAGGAGGAGAAGGAGGAGGAGGAGGAGGAGAAGACGCTGGAGGAGGAGGAGGCGGCGACGGAGGAGGAGAAGGTGAAGGTGAAAGTGAAAGAACGGAAGGGTCATGGCATCCGCCACGACACCACGGGCGACAAGCAAGGGTGGGTGGGCGAGATTAAGGTGGTCGGGAACGAGAGCAGATACATCGGCAAGTCCCGCGACAAGATGGAGCTGGCGTACCTTCACTCGATTGTGTACCTCCTGTACGACGGTTACGTCAGCAAGATCCTCATGGCCGAGCTCACCGGCTTGGAGGAAACAGTGATGAAGCAGTGGAGGGCGGTGTGGAAGGAAGTCCGGTTCTTGCCGACTGGGATGTGGACGGTGATATGGGCACGGGGCGCGTTCCTCCCCAAGACACGGTAAGTCGGATAAACGTCGGCCAAGCTATGATGTCGACGTCGGCGTTCCTAACGGCCAGTTTCGTGTGATTGTGTGACAGGTTCGATGATATCCTCGGGAAGTATCGAGCGTACAAGACATCAGGCGATGCGCACCACGATGCGCTTTTGCCCGCGATCTGGTTCCCCGTCGATGCCGACAAGTCGGATGCAATGATGTCGGCCATGATTGATCGCGTGTCCATGTGCGCGGCGTATGGGATGGTCGCTGCATCCGCGGCGAGAATGGAGGGCGACACGGATCAGAAGACGGCGAAGGTCGCACAAGCGCTGTCGGCCTCCGCTTGCGCCCTGTGGTGCTTAGTCGATGGCGACGGCGCCCAGGTGGCTGATGCCGTCCGCGAAGGGAAGGCGGCGGCGATGTTGGTCGGCGCCAGCGAGACTACCGCCGCCGAGTTCAAGAAGGTCATGACGGCGGTGCTGGAGGCCGCGATCAGCAGGCAGCAACCCCTTGGGGAGGTTGCGCACAACGTCGCACCGGCGCTGGAGTCCACCGCTCTGGCCAAAGCCTATCCGGGGTTGGATGTTGAAGCCGAGGCCAAACTGATCGCACGAGCGACGGTGGAAACCCTCGCGTTCTGGGGAATGTGCCCCGTGGATGGGCCGAAACTCAGGAAGATCGGCATCGCGGTGCCGCTTGACGCGCATATGGAGTACGACATCGAACACAGGGGGAGGAAGAGGCCGAGGGGCAAGCAGGGCAAGGACAGCTCGGGGAAGAAGGGGAAGAAGGGCAGAGCGGGCAAGGACAGCACGGCGGCGTAGTCGGCATAACAATCTGCCATGGGCGGCAGGAGGGAGCGCAAGTAGGTCTTCTTGCTAGGATGGCCTGGTATGGGCGGCGTCGATTATGTGGTTTTTTTGGGATTTTTTTTTCGTTTGATTGTATAGTTTTCGTTGGGATTTCTTTTGTTGGCTGTAACTTTTTGGTAGTGCATGTTACTAGAACACTCCTCGGCAAGGTCGACCTGATCTCTACCATGTTACTCAAATGCGGGCCCGGTTCGATGAACCCCGTCGGCGTATAGCAACTCGGCGTCGTACGGTGTCGACATAGTGCGTCTGGCTGTATGCATGTAGATACTCGGCGATGAGCCTCGTCGGCTAGGCCGAGATGGTCAATGGTCGGCGCTTTGGGGAATGTGCCGCGCCGCCCAGGTGGCCGAAACTCTAGGAGGTCGGCATCGATGTGCCGTTTGACGCGCATATCGAGCGGGCATGGACAGCACGGATGCGTAGTCGGCGCGCGGAGGGAGCGCTAGGTGGTATGATTGCTCGGTTATAGCGTGATCGGCGCCGTTTGCGCCGTTTGCATGCAGTCAAGGCACAATGAATTGCACACACATGGTGGCGACTATGTCGGAGTCCGACATATCTGGTTCGGATGTATGTGTTGGATCATGTATGTTCGTGTTGCATCAAAATCAACAAGTACGATGGTAACACGACGGTTTGCTAAATTAGGGCATCATCAACCTACGCTAACACATATACACCGAGGATCTTCATGCCGACTTCTTGCGCTTTGACGGAGGACGCTGCGCAGGTGCGGTCTGCTTGGCCAAGTCGGCCACGGTCTTCGGCATCTGCTCCTCCCAGGTGTCTGGAAACAGGCGGTCGACCCACGTCGTCGGCTTCAGCTCGAGCGCCACCAGCGCACAGGCGAGGCGTAGCTTCGAGACCACCTTGGGGCCAAGCCCCTTGACGCCCATGTCAGGCTCCTTGGACATCGTCGGTGCCATCTCCGGGTTGAGCACCGTGAGGGCATCGCAGAAGGTCCCAATGCCCGGTGACGCGATCGTGTTCAGTGCATCGACCACGGCTTCGGTGTCGGCATCGCCGTCGCTCGCGCGTAGCTGGCGCACCGCATCCATGGCCTTCAGCATGCGGCGCACCCTCATGTTGAGTGCACCCTGGGTCGCGCCTTTGAGGAGGGTGTGGCGGTCGATGAACCCCGGCTCGGCGACCCTGTCGCAAAGACGACGGGTGTCATTGGCGGTGGCGGAGTTCCAGAGGCGCCAAGCGTCCCGCACGGTCTTTGAATCCCGCCAAGGTTGCACCACGTTGAGCTCGTAACTGGCCTCCTCTGCCGTCTGGGGGGGTGGCGGAAGTTTCCCATCATCTCTCTTGGCTCCGGTCCCCGTGTTGGCCGAATCCGCGGAGCCACCCTCGCCCGGAGTTTGATCGGTAGCCGACGGCGGCGCCGCCGGCATCCTCCAGGCTTCTGACACACGGAGTGCCTCGGTGAGTCGAGCAAGCTCGGAGGTGAGCGACGCGATGGTGTCGTTTTGCTTCTCGATCGTCTCCTGAAGGCCTAGCTTCTCGAGCGCCGAGCGCTCGACCTCCTTCTTCAGCGCCTCCTTGAGGGACATGTTGTGATACTGGGTGTCCATGCGCACGGATATTTCCTGCAATGTTGGGTGTGCGGAAAGGCGACAAGAGGTTAGAATTCACCGGCTAGAATTCAACGACGCCGACATGGTCGGCAACTCACCTCCGGTTGTATCTGAGTCGGGTCCCGGCGCTTTTTGATCGTATCGGTGTCGACCGACTCGACCCTTTTCGCCCAGTGCTGGAAGAGGGCTATCCTGCAGAGCTTCGAACCTTGGACGTACGGGTGCCACGGTGTGCGGACGAGCTTCACCGCAACGTCCTCGGCGACGATTCGTCGGAACATCACGAGGGTGCGCAAGAAGTGCACTGCGGCTGCAGCGGCGTCGCTCCCGTTGACGGCACGCGTCTCCGCCTGCAAGTCGGAAAGTGGCGTGGGTTAGTAGGGAGTTGGGCAGCCAACTAGGCCACGACGACTGAAAAACATTGTCGGCGTCGCGTGACATACATCGCGCAGCATAGCATCCACGCCGGGGAAGATGTGCTCGGCGAGCAGGTCCAGGAGTTTGTCGGAGGGCTCGACCCTGCTGCGCCCCAAGAAGTAGTCTTGCTTGAGTCCCGAGTAGCCGGCCTTCTGCATCACCACCCCAACGGGAATGGCCGTGATGTACGCACGCGTCATCTTGTCGAGAGCCCAGTGTCCCAGCTCGGCGATCTGGGCGCGCGGCGTCCCTCCGATGGCTAACTCCTGCGCACCTCCGGCGCGGGCGGCGTGCACGTTCCTCTTGCAGAACACCTTGTTGGTCGTCCACACCTGCCGAGTCCAACGTTGGTGGGTGGCGGCGGAGAGCTCCTCCTGCTCCTTGTCGTTTCTGGCGAAGAAGAGATGCTTCTTGTACCAGCGTTCGCGTTCTGTGGTGTCAAGCGGCGAAAGAAAGTCGGTGCCGGAGAACTGACCGATCTGGTCGAGGATGAAGTGCAGCCACAGGCCGGTCTCGCCGACGGCGCACAGCTCCGCTTCCAGGTGTCGCGCAGCGTAGCTCTGCTGAAGACGGACATCCTTGGAAGTCTTCGAGTTACGCGCGGCGATCACCATGACGACCGGCTGGCTATCCGGGTTCACCTCCGAGGTGCTCGCCAGGTGGTACAAGAAGATGTCGGGGAGCGTGATCTCGCGGATGCTGGCGCCGCGCAGGAGAGTGTGGTGGGAGAGTAGCGTGAGCACCTTGATGAGCAGGAATCGCCACAGCGTCTGCGACGGAGTGGTAGCCCGCGGGTTCCACGCCGCCGCCGCCCATGTCGGCAGCACCCTCATCATGATCTGGCGGAACTGCTCGGCGGTGTAGGTATCGCCGATGGTGCCGCGTCGACGGTCGGCGCAGTTCCTGAACGCAAATCGGCGGGGAAAATCTGTTAGACTGCGTCGACTTCACAGTGCACAGTGACATATAATAAGGTTGTCGACCAACTTACTTGAGGTCCCTCTCGTTCTTGTGGCGGACGTTGAACCGCACCTCCGATCTCACCACCGAGATCTCCCTCATGATGCCCAGCTCCTTCTCTCGGTACAGCGTCGCCTCCACCCTCGCTGCCATCTGGCATGCCTTTATGCGCCCGAGGATCGTGTGCACAGTTGTCGACCTCACAGGCCCCGTTCGCGTGGCATTGTTCTCCTCCCCGGGCTGGTCAACAATGAGGTTACACTCACGGCTCATTTGCTTCACGTAGGCGCGCAGCCGGGTTTCGGTGACCCTAGGGCCGTGCAGCCAGATGTACTGTCGGCAGACCACTTTCTCGTTGCACCAATCCTTTTTCTTGTTGTCGCGGATGTCGTGGCCGATCTCGTCGACGTGCCTAAGTCGTTGCTCATGGGGTAGCTTGTCGCGTATCTGCCTCAGCATCTTCGCCGCCCACTTCTTGTAGTGGTAGATGAACGCGGTGTACAGCCTGAGCGTGCTATTCTTCTCCAAGCATTGTAGGTGTCGTAGGGCGTCCATTATGAGCACGTCAATGCTGGAGTACACCATGTCGTCCACTACAAAGTCCGTCGCCTTCCACCCTTCGCGCGGCACCGCCATGTGCTGATTGTCCTCCTCCTCGTCCGCTTCGAGCATGTCACGAATGTATTCAAATTCCCGCCTAAGGCGTTCTTCCAAGGTGCGCGGATTCGTGCTACGCGGAGGACGGTCGTCGACTTCGTCGTCGCTCTCTTCCTCGTCCTCGTCGTCGCCATCACCTTGGTTTTCCGAGCCGGCCGGCACCGACGAAGGTCCAGTCTGCCCATCTGCCGTCGGTGTCGACTTCTTCGTAAACTCCCCAATTGGCGGATTCGGTATGTCCTTGGTGTACTCCCCTTCGGGAATCTGAGTAAGTTTGTCAAGATCGTAAAGCAACTTCAGCGTCTCTACGGGGGCAGAGGACGGACTGTGGTCGGTTGGGGTACCAACGTCGGGCATGTCGACGTCGTCCATGACCGCTCGTATGCTCTACCGCCGGCCGTGGAAGAGGGAAAGATTGGTCAACCAGAGATGGTACTGATTCACGGGTGCGGTGTACGCCCTAATCGTCCTGCGGCGGCCTTCCTCGAATTCCCTCCCAAGTGCTTCTAACTCAGCGTCGACCTCGAGTCGTTCCAGTTGCGCTTTGATGTCGTCGTCTACCGAATCGGCGGGGGGTGGGATAAGTTGTTGTGGCTGTTGGGCACTAGCCCTTCCTCTGGCCATGCGTCGCCGACTCGGTAAGGTTGGGAGATGCTATCGTCGCCCTGATCTATCGTCGCCGACTTTCCTACATGACGACCTAGAACCTAGTAAGGCGAAGTCGACGATGGTCGACCCCAACACCGACCTATGGCAGTCTATTCCAGGTCGTCGCCTTTGTGCCGCCGCTCGGTCGACTCGGCCGTCGAGTAACCTACACCCGCAGAGATAGCGAGGGTCCTGTGAAGAAAACGAAGTGCTAGATGGCGCACAGGAGCATGAGAGAAACATGAAGCTGAACCGGCAGAATGAGAGCGTTGTGCGTGGTCAAGGATGTTAAAGAAACTAGAATGTAAGGGCCTAGGCTTAGGAGCCTAGGCCCAACTTAGGTGTTGAGTAGGTTTCCCTAGGCGAGGTATCGAGTGAGTTGAGAGAGGAAAATTGGAGAATGATTTTCACTATAGGTTTCAAGAAACATATAGCATAGGAAACAAAGTTGGTGCACCACCTACAAAGTACAATAACTACACTACAACTACAAGCAGTTATAAAATATGACAAACATATTTCGACACGCCCCCATAATGCTTGTAGGTAGAAATGTAGTTACGCCCCCTGAGGGGGTACACCATGCAAAATAATCACAAGCAACAGCAGGTAATGCAGGCGGGCTAACATTAAAGAGTTACCCCCTCCATCTCCTCACCCTCCTCCTTCCCCTCCCCCACACTGCTGCAGGAGCAGCAGAGAAAGGGGGGAAGAGAGGAGAGGTGGAGGGACGGCTGCATGTTGCCTCACACCCGCCACCCCGGTACCACTCCCCCTGCTCCCCCACATCCTCACACCTTCTCCCCCCAGCGGCAGCTGCAGCGGTGGGACTGAAAGAAGGAGGAGGGGAAGGGAGAGAGGTGACGCCACACTCCAACACCCTCCACCCCCATACCCTCCTCCCCGCGGCTGCAGGGAGACAAAGGAGGAGGGGGGTGGGAAGGAAGAAAGCCGCAGAGCGGCGAAAAGGTGTCGGTGCAGTGGTGTCAGGGGCGGCTTCAGGGAGTGCAGGGGCGGAAAGGCCCGTCGCGGGCCAGTGCCACGGGGCGCACGACGGGTAGAATAGAAGGGCCCGATCGTGTGCCTAGGGGCGCACGACGAGCAGGGCACCATCGTGTGCCACGGGGCGCACGATGGGCAGATGAAGGGCACCGTCGCGTGCCACGGGGCGCGCGACGGGCAGAGAAGGAGCCACACACCCGTGGGCGGGACTAATTAAAAAATCGTCACGCGCCCTAGGCGCGCGACCGAAAACTCATCGCGGAAGCGTAAGGCGGGCACACAGGCCAGGTCGTAAAAAAGCTCCGATAACATGTTAAAGAAACTAGAATGTAAGGGCCTAGGCTTAGGAGCCTAGGCCCAACTTAGGTGTCGAGTAGGTTTCCCTAGGCGAGGTATCGAGTGAGTTGAGAGAGGAAAATTGGAGAATGATTTTCACTATAGGTTTCAAGAAACATATAGCATAGGAAACAAAGTTGGTGCACCACCTACAAAGTACAATAACTACACTACAACTACAAGCAGTTATAAAATATGACAAACATATTTCGACAAAGGAGGGGTATGGTTGCGAGCCACTGCGCACCTGCCGCGCTCCACGCAGCCCTCTTTGCAAGCGCCGCTGTGCACGTGCATGACGTGTCACGATCGATGCATGTCTAGTGTCACGCCGCTCTGCGCTCAACGGCACTCCCGCCGGTGCCTTGCCACGGTGGAATTCACGTGCGCCACGTGCAATAGGCCAATCACCTAGTTCCACTCTCCTGAAATGCCGTAGCGTCCAGCTCTCCCGCGCAAACCTCATCGACCTGCGAGTAGGCGCGTGGCCGGAGGCTTGGTCGACGCCGACATTTCCCTGAGTCTGGGGCTCTCTTCGCCTATGCATTGTTTGGTCCGCACAGAACCATCCGCGTGGGTCGTGCTGCTGCGGTTGGATCTTCGGGCGACACCGACATCTCAATACCCCGCGTTCTCTGGCTATCTAGGTGGTGGACACATGCCAGTCGTCTATCGCCGCGTGGACGATGGTTACATTTTTCGTCGGCGCGCCAAGTTTCGCGCGCAGCGAAATATACCCGGTGGTGCGAAGCGGGGCCACGTCGGCGCCGTCGTGGCACCTCCCGATTGTCAGGCTCGATCTCGGCCGTCCCTACTAAGCCACGTGGCAGTAATCGCGGCTCAGCGCACAACGTGTCGAGCTGTGGTTCAGAGTCTGCTGAGGTATCCTTCTCGGGTTTCTCTCAGCGAAACCCGAGGTCGTCAGATAGTCGACAATCCCGAGGGGTTCAGAGCCCCAGAGGACTGCCAGGTCGCCCCAGTTTGCCACTCGCAAGTCGTCAAGAGGTCGTCAATCCCGAGGGGGTTCGTTGTCCTATCGCAACCGCGAAATTGGGCGGCAGTTTTCGTCGGCTGAGGTATACCATCCCTTATCGCAACGCCGCAAATTTCTCGTTCCTTTTTTTGTCGTTACATCAAATAGTGAGAGCAATTGACCAGACATGCCTTGGCACTGTTCTCAGTGCCTCTTAGGGTGCATTCCTGAGTTGGTGGCAGGGCAACTGTTGGTGGCAAGCGCATTTTCCGGCCCACTGAATTTTTGGGTACACTTGCCACCAACTCGATGTGAACAGTTGCCCTGCCACCAACCAGGAATGCACCCTTACTATACCTCACACAATGTCTATGTGATCTGGAAGTTGGATTTGCGCGTAGAAACTTTTGGATGATCATGGCCAGGTTTTAGGGGTACGTGTCCTCGAGAGACCACTCTCACTTACACACACATCAAACCAGATGACCCGTTCCCGTTGGTTGACCCTGAGGAGTCGGGGAAGGACTTGTTCCACCCTTCATAATTCTGATTAGCAATTTTGTGACATGTGGAACCGTAGGGTATCCTCTCAAAGCAAGTGAAGTGACCATCAAGCATTCCCCTTCGCCCGCTTGCCAATCGCGTCCTTTCTGTATCGTTCTCGGGATCAGATGCATGAGTGTTTGAGAGTGAGGGAGAGGAGGCGAGTGACCCGCGGCGAATGGAGGGAAACCTACAGCGAGGGAAACTCGACCAGTTCTGGAACACATCTCACACAAATGTGAGAGATGGGACTGTGGGATTGATTACGAAAAGCGGAGTCGAGGGGGGTGTTGGGCAGGTGGGGTGTTTGAACCGTAAAAGATTTGACGTTGCCCACTGCCACCCACTGTCGAGTGTAGTGGACAACACTGGGCTGAGGGACTTTGACCTCTTCTCGGTGCTTTGTACAGTAGAGTTCTGTACACAGTGCTGTTGCACACTGTCCACTGGGAGCAGCACTACCACGAGCGGAAACTGTGCTTCTCATCCATCTCAGCTCAGGTTGACCTCACATCAAGCTCTCAGCTCAAGTCACCACCACACAAACACCGATACCTGACGTGTCCTGTGCCATGCCTGGACAAGCTCCGTCCATTCACATTTTCTGTTTCATGCCGTAATTTTCCCTTGGAATATCCACACACACCCAACCATCGTCGGATTCGCCGTAGTAACTAGAGACGAGACCAGAGACGAGGTGAGGTCATTCCAGGGGAAACAATCCTCCCTCTCACCTACGAACTGTACCCCTTCGCTTCGTAAATCGCTTGTCTTCGCATGCTCATCTCCGCGCGTGTCTGCAGCTGCACGCGCCACCTCTGCTCCTTACGAACTTCAGGCTTAATTCCCGCGCATTCTGGGGTGGCTCCTCATCTGGAAATCCAATTACACAGGATTTTCTCTCACAGTAGCCCATTGATCAATTATCGGCACCGGTCTGTTTTCGCAGCCCGTTACCTCTCGTCCCAGCATGTCTGTTTTGGGGGATCTGGAATGGATGTAATTCATGTTCCACCCTAGTAACCCGCCGGGTCTACGCCCATGTCAGGGGGCCACGCGGCGGCAGCCGCGGCGGGCAGCGCGGGATCCCTGCTGCTAGACGACAGTATCGGCCTCTTTTTCTTAGACGACCCGCCCTTCTCATTCTCAGCGGGCGGTGCTCCCTCGTGGTCCCCCGCAGATGCCGCTGTACCGCTGACAGATCACACCCCTGCGCCGCCGCCGCCGCCGCGCGTACCCGGCGCTGCATCTGACGCAAAGCCTCTGCTAGGCGAATTCACTAGCGCCTCTGCGGAGAGCCAGCTAATACACGGTCGCGATATAGACGGTCTCGCAGTAGGTGATTGCCTCGCGCCGGTGGAGTCGGCGCGGGGGGATGGGGAGATACCGGGGAGAGGGGTCGCGGCGGGCTGCGGTGGTCAGAGCGAGCGCGCACGAGTCGCAGGGGAATTGCGCGACGACGACGACGGGGATGCGTGTATGTGGGGGGTAGTGGGTGACGGAGAATTAGGTCCTGGCACGGGGTTCGGAGCGGTTGAAAACGGTATCGACGAGGGGATGAATGTCACGAGACGCGGAGCGACGGAGCGGGGCTTAGGCGAATATGGCATTGATTTCGACTGCGGTGGCGGCGGCGGCGGAGTAGGAGAAGGAGGCGCAGTAGGCGGAGGCGACGGCGGAGGGGGACGGGAAGTCGAAAAGGGCGGAGGTGGAGGCGGAGGCGGAGGCGAAGGGGGAGGTGGAGACGGAGGCGAAGGGGGAGGCGGAGGGGAAAGGGGAGGGGAGGGGGGAGGGAGTGGCGCGGGCGGCATGTTCATGCGGTGCGGCGAGGATGAGGAGCTGGACGAGGCTGGGCTGGTGGAGGGCGGACTCATTCTCGCTGACGTCAGCGGCCACGACGCTCCAGTGTTTTTGAGCGACCGTGGCGATCACCGCGACAGTGCGACGGGTGCTCCCTCCCCCGCCGAAGCAGAGGAAGCAACAGCAGCGGCTTCGGCGGCGGCGGCGGCAGGCGGGGCGGCACGTGATTCTGCCAGGCCCAACTCTGATGTAGGTACTAACGCTTCTCGCGAATCTGGACCTTCTCGTGCTACGGCGGCTCCGGACGGCGGCGCTGCTGGAAACGCGCCTCGGCACGATCGCGTATCGGACAACACCACTCCTATGGACATTACTAGTAGCTACTATAAGCAGGAATCCGCTTCAACAGCGGAGAATACCAACACCGGGGCGAACGCGGGAGAGACGGCGTGCGGTAAACTCCCGCCGCCTGTGCCGGCGTCTGCGCCTGCCCGCGCGCCTGCATCCGCTGCAGCGGCATCAGCGGAGGGTTCTCCCAGTTCCGTCCGCGGCCCCGCGCAGGACTCTTCCGGCAGAACGCTGGCAGGCGGCGGCGGCCGAGGGGGCGGCGGCGGAGGCGGAGGAGAGGGCGAGCGGGGTGAGGAGTCGTGGGGGTGCTCTGAGGGGCCAGACGAGGAGCTGTTGCGGCTGCTGGATCAGCAGCACTGGAGCTTCCTGCAACAACCCGTCGAGGCGGAAGCGGAGGCGGAGGCGGAATCGCTGCCTCCTGCGGATGCGCGTGTTCCTCCCGGCGAGAGGATTATTGGCGAAGGTTTGGCTGCTGCAGCATCGGGTGGTGGTTACCACCACGATGCTGGTCGCGGTCGCGACGCGCCGCACGACGTGTCCATGTCGCACGCGTCGCGCATGTCGTACGCGTCGCAGGGGTCGCTCATGTCGCAGGAATCGCATGGGGTTGCGCTCGGCGGCAGCGGGCTTTCTCCGCGGAAATCCTCCGCGCGCTTGCCGCCGCCGTCTCCGCCGAAGCTGCACACCGCGGGAGCTGCAGCCGTGCAAGCGCCATTCCCCCTGCGTAGCGCTGGCGCGGCTGCGCCCCGTCAGGCGCGCGGAGGGCCTGCGCGGAGTGCGCCCCAGCCGCAGGGTAGCGTGGAGAGCGCGGTGGTGGTGAGTGGCGGAGGGCCCATGGGATCAGGGGGAGTGGTCGCAGCGGCGGATGGAGGAGAGCAGCAGGTGAAGGAGCAATGGGAGCAGCAGCTGCAACAGCAGTTAGGGCAGGCGCAGAGGCAGCAGCTGCAACAGCAGTTAGGGCAGGCGCAGAGGCAGCAGGTGCAACAGCAGATGGAAAGAAGGTCTGTGCCGGCGCCGTTGGTGGGAATCGGAACAAGGGCACGGATTCAAGGGGAGGGCAGTAGATCGGATGTTGCAGCAGTAGCAGCAGCAGCAGCAGCAGCAGCAGCAGCAGCAGCAGCAGGTGCAGGGCTATCGGGCAGTGGCGGCGGAACAGCAGCGGCAGCAGCAGCGGCGGCGGCGGCGGCGAGTGAGGCGGCGAGGGCGGTCCCTTCAGGTGCGGTGGCGGAGATGTGTTCCGGGGGGAACGCTGCAGTGGCCATGGCATCCGCGGCGGAAGCCATTGCTGCGCGCATGGCAGGCGCTCCGCGCCTCACAAGCAGTGGTAGCGGCAGCGGCAGTAAAACGGCTGGAGCAGCATTGGGTATGGTAGAGGAAGGCTGGGCGGGTGGGGCAGGCGCAGGGACAGGGGCAGGGGCAGGGGGAGGGGGAGGGGCAGGCGGAGGGGCAGGTGGGGGTGGTAACCGCAGCCGCGCCAGAGCTGCCGCTACTGTTGGTGGTGGGCCGACAGCTGGCCGCCACACGCGACACGCCAGCTGGCAGCTGGGCGGGTCGGCCTCGCTTGTCTCCACTCTCGTGCTCACGCCTCAGGGCGTGGCTCTGGGCAGTGGGGGCGGCGGTGGTGGCAGTGGTAACCAGGTGGGTGTTACTCGTGTGCCTATTTCGCGAGTGGGTTCTGCTCGCACTGCAGAATCAGGAGGAGGAGGAGGAGCAGCAGCAGTTATACTGCCAGCTGGACCGGGCGGCACAGGATGGAGGCAGCGGGACGGCCGGATCCTAAGGAAGAGATGTGCCACGTGGACAGGAGGCGAGACGTCGGATGACGTTTGCGGTGGGGCGATGGACGGTGGGGGTGTGCTGTATGGGCTTTCTGGGATGGCAAGTGCAGGCGGAGGGGGTAGCAGCATGGAAGGTGCTGCTGCTTTCGCTGGTGCTGGTAGTGGGGCAGGGGTTGATGGTAGGAAGGCATGGGTTTCTGGTGGTGGAGGGATGGTGGGTGGTGATGAAAGGAGGGGGAGCTGGGAGGAGCTGCAACTGCTGTTGCAGGAAAGGGACCAAGGGGGGCTGTCCCACCAGCAGATGATTCTGCGGCAGCTGCTGCTGCAGCAGCAGCGGGACTTTCAACAGCAGCAGGCGAAACAGCAGCGGGGGCAGCAGGGGGGGCAGCAGGGGCGGCAGCAGGGGCAGCAGCAGGGGCAGGAGATGCGGGTTGGTGAGAGAAAGCCGTCAGAGAGCTCGGCTATGGACATGGTTATGGATGGCTTGATGCAGCATCCTGGTAGCAATAGCAACAATGCCGCTAGCAACAGCAAATCGGACGTCGCCAGGTGGCAGTCTCTGATGACCCTAACCCAGGGAGCAGGATCCATAGCGCCTGTCTCTTCGTCCAAGAAGGCCCGCTGGGGTTCCACTCAGAACAATCAGAACACTCCAAACACCCAAAACGTCCAAAACACATCTGAGACCTCCCCTGGCACCGCCGCCGCCTCTGCCGCTGCTGCCGCCTCTGCTGCTGCTGCTGCTGCTGCTGCTGCTGCTGCTACTGCTTCATGTGCTGCAGCAGCCGCAGCGTCAGGGGTCGCATACTCCCAGAGGCCGTCCCTCCCTCCCTCTGTCTCCGCTGCTTCAATGGCTGCCGCTGCAGCTGCAGCAGGGGCCAGGGGAGCAGCAGGAGCATGTGCCACTGCTGGTGGCAGCGGGAGGAGTGCCATGCCAGGGCATGGCCTCCCTTCCCTCTCACACATGCACCCGCCTCTCTCTCGCTCCATGTCCGAACCCCTCCCCCTCCACCTCTTCTCCTCTTCCTCCTCTGCCACCTCCCCTCTCCCCCACACCTACGCGTCGTCTCTCACCCCTCCCTCCTCCTGTTCGTATATCCCCATAGCAGCCTCCTACTCTCCCGCAACAGCAGGTGCATCAACAGAAGCTGCAGCTGCAGCTGCTGCAGCTTCTAGACCCTTCCACGCCCCTGCGGCTGCTGCAACCGTCCCTATCGTCCCCATATTCCCAAGGGGACTTCTCACCCCTCCACCAGCCACACTCTCCGCCACTGCCGCCTCGCACTCCTCGTCCTCCTCCTCCTCGCCTTCCCTAAATAATTCCAGTGAGCAGCATCAAGCCCTGCAGCTGCTGCTCTCACAAAGACCGGAGCTGGGGCGGTTTTATAACGCGGACGGGAGAGCAGGGGTGGGGGGGAATGTGGGTGGGATTGCACGAGAGGGAGTGGGGGGTGATCAGGGGAGGCATCAGGCAGCAGGGCAGGCGGGAGCGGGGGAGAGTGGCGACTGGTATGAGATGAATTTGGCTGTACAACTGGCTGCGGCTGCAGCTACAGCTGCTGCAGCTGGGGAAGGAGGGGGTGTTAGGGGACCAGGGAGTGGCAGCCGCAGTGGCAGCCGGGAGGGCATAGCTGGCGCTGATCTGGCATCGCTGCCTGCTGCTGAGCTGGCAGAATTGATGGCGGGACGGGGGGGTGGCAGGCATGGGTTGAGTAGTGTTCCAGGCTCCTCGTTTGCACTGTTACAGCAGCACAAGCAACAGCAACAGCAACAGCAACAGCAGCAGCCGCAGCAGCAGCAGCAGCAACAGGAACAGCAGCAGCTGCGTCAGGCACAACTTGGGAGTGTGAGTGCAAGAGATAAGGTGGGGATGGCAGCAGCCATGGCAGGGGGGGGCAGTGCAGCACAGTCTTTGGTGCTTCAGCAGCATCTGGAAGCAAAGATCCGAGCGAGACTGGCAGCAGCGTCAGGTGCAAAGCTGACAGATGTGGGTGCAGGGACGGCCATGGCAGTGGATATGGGGCTGCAGAGAGGGTCCGAGCAGGCAGACATGGGAACTGCTGGGCAGGCACAGCTTAGAATGGCTCTCATGCAGCAGCTTGTGCAGCAACAGCAGCAGCAGCAGCAGCAGCAGCAGATGCAGATGCAGCAACAGGAGCAAGAGCAGGTGGAGAGAGAGTCAACAAACGCTGACCTAAAGGCAATGCTGTTGATGCATATCGAGCAGCGGCAACAGCAGCAGCAGCAGCAACAGCAGCGACAGCAGCGACAGCAACAGGCTGCTGCCTCTGCCACGGCAGCACATGCCGGTGCAAGTGACGCTCCTCCAGCAGCTGCGTTTGCAGCAGCAGCAGCAATCGCAGGAAGCACGAGTGCAGCTGCCACTGCTGCTGCTGCAGGGATCAGTGGTTTCGGCGGGGCAGGAGCTGCAACAGCAATGGCAGGAGGAGTGGGAGGGGGAGCAAGGGACTCACTTTCTCAGCTGGTAGAGGGGAAACATTCTGTTGGTGGGACGCATGCACAACTATCTGCTGCTACTGTAGCTGCAGTTGCTTCTCAGCTTGCATCTGAACAGCAAGGAGGGGGCATGCATGTGGAGGTGAGTCTGTTGACTGCACTCGAGTGTTTTCTCTCGATCTTACATAAATTACACCTGCCCAGTTTGTTTGTGCTGACTTTGAGCTCCTCTCCGTCTCTCTGCTTGTTTTCAGAATCGAACTGCTCAGCTTGCGCCACACACACCAGTGGTGCTCTTGCAGCAGCAACAGAGACAGCAGCAGCTGCAGCAGCAAGAGCAACACCAACAGCAGCAACAGCACCTTCATCTGCGGCAGCAGTTGCTTCAGCTTAGCCAACAGCAGAAGCAGCATCAACAGCAGCACCTGCTTCAGCAAAACCAGCAGATTCAGCATCAAAAGCTGCTGCAACAGCAGCAACAACAAATTCATCATCTTAACCAGCAGAAACTGGTACAGCTCCAGCAGCAGCAGCAACAACAACAGCCACTCCAACAGGCCTCCGCTATGGCTATGACTCAGCGTCTCTTGGCCAGCCTTGACCCACAATCTGGGGCTGGGAATTCAAACGAGCAAGGCAACGGTGGCATGTGGGTAGATACCTCAAGTTTTTAATTCATGGTTTCATATTTTATGTCGAGGGTGGTAACTGATTCTTGGTTTTGAAGAACATGTGGGTGAAGGGAGTATGAAGTTCTGGTTTGGTACATTGCTTAGCATGGTCGATGCTCACACAGGCCCAACAGGCTCCACAATTATACACTCCTTCAGTGACTTGATTCACAGACCTTAATTCATTATTGCCATGTTCACACACCTCATCCTAGTACCAGTACCTCTGGAGATGAACGAAGTCTCTTTGATATTTGCCTACTCTCTAAGTGCCTTCACCCTTCCATGGTCTGAGAAGTTCCGCTTCCAGAGGTACAAAGATTGAAGCAATCCCCAAGTAGCCATGACCAGAGCAACAGCCATGAGAGTCCCTTGGCTCGCTTTTATGAGCTGCAGCACAGACGGAAGGAAACCAGCAAGCCCAACAGCTGCGGAGTATACTGCCTGCACAAAGCCAAAGAGTTCCGCCCTGGACGCTCCAGAAAGCATGTAGGAGTTGTAGATTGACATGTAGTATGATAGCACCGTGACGGTTGAAATTGTCACAGCAGCCACCATTTCAGGCATTGCGACAAACTGAAGTCCGCAGGCAATCATGAAGGCAATGCTCATTCCTGGAAATATCTTGCCGTAGTAATGTGAAGGGTGGAGCTTCATGATAAATGTGAAATATGCGACTCCTCCCACCAAGTAGAGGAGCTGCAAGATCAATCCTTGCAGAAGAATGAAGTCTACAGCGCCACCACATAGCCCATGCTTGGTGGTAGATAGAGCAGCTCTTGTCAATGTAATCGGACCGTCGAACATGTACTCGAAGCAGCTAGACACCATAGAGAGGCAGACGCAGTTTGTAAGTATCACGCTTCCCCAGAAGTACTGCACCCGATACGTGAAGAACTCCAGCAGACCATTCAAAGATGTCCTGCCGTTTGCTTTTTCCTTCATGCACCCCTTTGTATTTGATTCATTGTCGTCCTTCGTCGCTGAATTGCGCTCCTGCTCTGCGGATATTCTATATGGTGATCCACCATACGACGTGCTCAAAGAGATGCTTGGGAGCAGCATTAACGAACACGTCAAGAGAACTCCGACGTCCATCAACCACCGAACGGTAACGTAATCCCCCTTCCACATGGCAGACAGAAGTGCCAGTCCCATGAGCGCGATCTCGTAGACCTCAGAGGCTAGATCTCCCAATGTACCAATTTTATTCATGGCTTCTTCATGCAACAAGACGTTGGATCCAAACTTGAGTTGGACAAACATCTGCGAAGGGAGTGTGTTGTTGTGAAGCAAGTTATAACATATTGTAAGGCAGCAACCATGAATCGGGACTCACCTTAATAGCTTTCCAACTTGAACTTGACAACTGCATCTGTACGATGCATCTCAACGAGTATACCACGATGAGCTGGACATCGCTAAACGTGATTGTGAGTAAGGAGATGTAGACGAGGAGCAGCGCGGAGGAACAAAAAATCATGACATATGTGATGTGGTTCTGAAAGTGGTCGGAAATGAAGCCTGTCAACGGAGACCACAAGAGATACGCCACTGTATAGACCAGATACAATGCTCCGTACGAGGCTTCAAAATCGCAACCGACACGTTGAATGAGGAGAAAGTAAACAAAGTACTTATCCACGTCAACTAGAATATCCGCGCACCCCATGACTAGAGAAAATCTCCAATATTCCCTCCATGTGACATCTCCCACTAAGCAAAGTTCCTCCTTCTCCCCAAGGGATGATCTGGACAGAGAGTCACCATCAGTTGACGAACCAGCCAACAACAGGCTAGTTTCTGAGTCTATGCTGGAAGTTCGTGAGCCATGCTCTATGCATGTTTCCTCATCCAATCCCTCTGATTCCATGATTCTGCGAATCAAGGCAAAATAGGAAATATGTAGTCAGATTTTCAAGCCTGTCATGACAAGCTGCTACTATTGAATGTCCTCCCTGACTCAACTTCAGAGTGGAAGGGGTTGATTGATCAATCAATCACTCTCTCGTGATGATGACATCATCCATTCGGCAACGGCCTAGCCACTACTTGGCGCGGCGCCCTGCGTTGGGGTCACCTCCTGTATTCCCTGATGTACAATTCGCAGTGCTGTACGATTGCTACCAGCAAACTTTCAGGAACACTTTAAGCTTAGTCTCGAACATGTGAACGCTTTAGGAGTGATACTATAAGGAAATTCCCTTTTCCTTACTTCGCGTCCCTGCTCAACGCGTACATCACTGTAGCACCTCAGTCAGCACCGTTACCACTCGCGACCATCGCACCATTCATCATCCCGCCCTTTTCGCACATCGCATCCCGACCTCACGGCTCGGCTGGTAACCCGCGCTCCGGACCTACGCTTCGACACTTTCCCAACCTCAGTCCCAGGCTCGTCGCGCGGCCATTACCGTTACCACTGTAGTTTCGCTATATAATGTTCGCTCATGCCTTCGCTCATTTGTATTCTTGCTTCGATAGTGCAATTCTCGTTCGTTCACTCAATTGCACTCGTAACACTTGGTATTCAGAGCCTACGATCTCATCTCGGACCGCATCCACACCTTCGCTTCCCACTATCTCAATTTTTTGGGGGGGGTAGACGTCTCTCAGCGACACAGCACCGCCGCTCGTAGTGCTCTCTCGAAAGCACGCACGGCCACGACCGAGGCTCTCGCTGAGCTTGCCCGACACCCGCCATGGCCGATTTCAATCTCGCCACGTTGACGCAGGAGCAACTCGATCGTCTCGTGCGTCAATTGGAGGATTCGGCGCTCGAAATCGCGACTCTCATGGCGGAACGTGACTCCGCCCGTCAACAGTCAACGGTGAACGTACTGACGACATCACACGCACCAACCAATGCATCTGCACATTCGGAGGAGCCCATCGTCATCTCATCCGGCACACCAACGCAACACAACAGCACGGGACAGCGCTCAGGCGCAGCCAGTGACGGCGCAGCCCAACCGATGCCCGGCATGGGAGGGAACAGGAGCGCATTAAGCCCACGGGAGCCCCGAGAAGCCCGTCGGCACGTGGAGTTTGCGGCGACAAGTGGCGAGAACGCCATGATGGCCCCAATGCCACTCAAGCCGCAACGCCCGCCCTGCTTCGACCCAAGCCAACGCGGCGGCCCGACAGTTCAATCGTGGGTCTTCACGATGAATGTGTTTTTCGACGCCAACTACGTCGAGTCGGACGCCGCCAAGATCCGGTATGCGGTTTCACTACTCAGGGGCCCCGCCATGGACTGGTGGCGAGTCATTGTGACGTCGCCGCGCGCCTACGAGCCACCGTCGCACGAGGAAGGGCCCTCGGGTCCAGCTGTTACCTGGAGTTCGTTCTGCGAAACCGCCCAATACAGCACGTGGGATGCGTGGTGCGCAGGGCTTCGGGCGCGCTTTGAGCCGATCGCGGCCTCGATTTCGGCGCGTCAGAAACTGCGCACTTGGCGCCAGCTCGGGTCAGTTCAAGACTACACCAGCGGGTTTCTCGCACTTTGCGAACAGGTCGGCTACATGCACGAGGCGGAGCGGGTGGACCGTTACGTCGGAGGGCTGAAGCCGGACATCTCGCACGAGATAATGCTACGCGGGCTCTCGAATTTCAACGAGATCCTCGCGCTCGCCGAGAAAATCGATATCCTACGCCGACCGAGACCGGGGTCCTATTACGGACATCGTCCTCGGGGACCGACCGAGCACGCCACTGTACATGCCGTCGCAGCGAATGCAGCTGCCGCGCCGTTTAGAGGGCGCTGCTTTGCTTGCAACCGGCTGGGCCATCGCAAGAGCGAATGTCCAGAGGAGCTGAGGCGTCGAGGAGCAGAGCAGGGGAAGGAGTCTCGGAGGCAGGGAAACGCCAGCAGTCAGTAGAAGTTGGGCCAACTACTGACGAGACTGCCTGCTCGCCCAACCACACCGACCCTCACCGAGTCACAGTACCGATTCACGCCATCGATCGGGCTCGGATGAATAAGGAGGGTACAACGACGGATTGCCCGGTACTGATCTACGGGAAAATACAGGGAGCAGCAGTGAAGATCTTCATTGACGGAGGAGCAAGCCACAGCTTAGTTAATACCGCAACCGCACGAAAATTAAAGTTAACGCTTAACCGATGTTTACCTGAGATAGATGCACGCTTAGTCGACGGCACGCCCCTGGCCATACGGGAAAAGGTGGAGCGCGTAAAAGTCCGCTGCGGGGGGAACTTCGGGTTTACACAGGAAATGCTCGCGACGACACTGGATGGGCACGATATTTTATTAGGACGTGATTGGCTGCGACGGTACAACCCACGGATCGACTGGACGACGGGGAGCTGCACAGTGCGAAGTAGTGGTAACTGGGTCGTTCTACCTCGCTGGCAGCCACCCAAATCTTCGACGGTCCAGGTCAACGCCATCACGATGAAACGGGCTGTCGCTGCTGGAGCTGACGTGTACGCAGTGGATATCGCACTCGTAGAAAAAGATGAGCAGCCGAGTGATTTGGAGAAACTGCTGGCAACTGTACCGACCGAACTACAGGCACTACTGAAAAAGTTCCCGGGGATATTTCCGGATGATTTACCACAGGGATTGCCACCTCAGCGGGCGCACGACCATAGGATCGAGTTAGAACCGGGGGCACAGCCAACTGTACAGCGGCAATTTCGACCGACACAGCCCGAGCTCGACGAGTTAAGGAAGCAGTTAGATTACCTGTTAGAGAAGCAGTTTATCCGACCGAGCTCGTCACCGTTCGCCGCACCGATACTGTTCACACCGAAAAAAGACGGAGGGTTCCGCATGTGCATCGTGTTGAATAACGAGCTTAAGAGGTAGTTGAGAGTTAAGTGGGGGCCTAGGCTTAGTAGCCTAGGCCAAGGAGAAGTCGAGTGGTTTGTGCCAAGAGAGAGGAGAAATGAATGGTTCAATATGAGAAAGAGGTACAAGATATAGTTCAGGAAAGGGTGCACCACCAAGAAAGTACAAATATAGAACTACACTACACTAGAACTACATGCAGTTATAACAGTATTCTGACATCCCCCCGTAACTGCATGCAGGAATAGTGAAGTGCAGGACACAACCTGCAGGGGTACACCACAGACAGAGAAACAGCGCAAGGCAGCAGAGCAGGTACAGGCAGCAAAGGGGGGGGGGGGCAGGCACTCCTGCCACCCCCTTACTCTCCTCCCCCCCCCCCCCCACCTCAGAGGGACGGGGGCTGGTTTGTCTCACATCCGCCACCCCAATGCCACTCCCCGGGCTCCCCCACACCCTCACACCCTCCCCCCCAGCAGCAGCTGCAGCAGTGGGAACGAAAGGAGGAGGGGAAGGGAAACACACCACCCATCACCCCACACCCGCCACCCCCATGCCCTCCCCCCCACGGCTGCAGGAAGACGAAGGAGGAGGGGGTGGGCAAGGAGAAAGCCGCAGAGCGGCTACAGAGGGTCGGCGCGGGTAGGTCAGGGGCGGCTGCAGCGAGTGCAGGCGCGGGGTGAGGCAGAGGCGGCTGCACCGAGTGGAGGAGCGGGGGCGGTTGCTCCAAGGGCAGGCGCTGGGTGGTGCAGTGGCACCGCCGCGGGCGCCAGGGGCGGGTCCGCGGTGACTCAAGACACCGTCGCGGGCGCCAGGGGCGGGTCCGCGGCGGCTCAGGGAACCGTCGCGGGCGCCAGGGGCGGGTCCACGGCGGCTCAGGGAACCGTCGCGGGCGCCAGGGGCGGGTCCGCGGCGGCTCAGGGAACCGTCGCGGGCGCCAGGGGCGGGTCCGCGGCGGCTCAGGGAACCGTCGCGGGCGCCAGGGGCGGGTCCGCGGCGGCTCAGGGAACCGTCGCGGGCGCCAGGGGCGGGTCCGCGACGGCTCAGGGAACCGTGGCGGGCGCCAGGGGCGGGTCCGTGACGGCTCAGGGAACCGTCGTGGGCGCCAGGGGCGGGTCCGCGACGGCTCAGGGAACCGTGGCGGGCGCCAGGGGCGGGTCCGCGACGGCTCAGGGAACCGTCGTGGGCGCCAGGGGCGGGTCCGCGACGGCTCAGGGCACCGTCGCGGGCGCCAGGGGCGGGTCCGCGACGGGCAGAAAAAACGTTACGCGCCACCCGGGCGCGGGACAGAACGAAAATCGTCACGCGCCCGAGGCGCGCGACCGGAAAAATAGTAGCGGAAGCGTGAGGCGGGCCCACAGGCCAGGACGTAACTCGCTCTAATGCCATGTTGAATAACGAGCTTAAGAGGTAGTTGAGAGTTAAGTGGGGGCCTAGGCTTAGTAGCCTAGGCCAAGGAGAAGTCGAGTGGTTTGTGCCAAGAGAGAGGAGAAATGAATGGTTCAATATGAGAAAGAGGTACAAGATATAGTTCAGGAAAGGGTGCACCACCAAGAAAG